AGGGGTAGGAACCACTTCGGGGGAAGAACCCTCAAGTGGACGGGGTATCATATTATGACATTAGGATTTGGTGTCAAAGTGTTTTTTAATGCGCGGGTTCTGTTGACATTAGGACCCAATGTCATACTATGACATCAATTCAATTGGGACATCAACCCTTGGCCAGTCCCTAACGCACCCCCACCCCCATTAGACTTTAGAATTGAGTAGAACTTACCCATCCAGCATTGGTGTGAACAAGACCGTGGCGAGCCCCCGACCAATACTCATCGAAGAATTGAGGAATGGACATCCCGAGGAATAGGGAAAGGCCCGTGATGAACAGATTGCGCATGCAGTTCATGTTTGTGAACTGAAGGAACGAAAGCCCCACCGAACCTAAACAAGTTGTTACCACATTCGCAAGAATATGAATAAATGAACCCTTCAATAATCCACCTTCTCATAGACATACACGGACCCGTTTCATAATTTCCCTATAGAGTAAGTGTTAGAGGATAGCATACCAACAAGGCCAAACAGAACACAGTAGAATGCTGCATAGATGACAAATGGTATAGATGCAAAAACAGCTCCAAATTTCCCTGCAATAGTACTTAAAATGAACATTCATTCTTGTCTCTCTCTCTCTTTTTTTTGTATGGAAAAAACCATCAACCAACAATAAGAAACTATGTTTACAAACCTAACATGGAGAAGAATATCATGAAGCCTGCAGAAACCTGAACAACTCTTCGGCTTCCAACCCGAGTGAGCCCCAAGAGTCCCACATTTTCCCTGCAATAAAAACCATTGGGAAGTTGAGCCACAAAAGCTTTGTCCCGAACTGATGGATACCTAAAATGCATTCAAATGATCGGATAACTCTGGCAAATCTTACACAGATACAGTGGGTCCCGTCCCTGTTCCAAAAAGACCATCGAGCAAAACACCAATTCCCTGCCATTGCAGTTTAAACTCAAAAACCTTAGTATTTTTTTAAAGTGATTATGAAGCAATGATGTATTACTACTTGCGAACTAAGGGTTGGGTGTTAAAAGAAGACCGATCTTTTTGTACTTGTCAATGGCTTAACAAGACATGCATTTAGTTATCGGCAGTGCTAGGGGGACCCCACTTGTGACACTAAAGGAAAATGCAGACACTTCTGCACATACAGTGGTATGACTTTCGTGTCAAAAATGGTGTCACAAGTAGGGTTCTCCAAATTTTTTAATTTAGTTATTTACACCAATTTGAAAAGGCAAATAACACAATAAGAGAAAAGTTACACCAGGCACATATTAAGATGAGATCACCTGCCAACCAATCCCCCGACTCAGCACGTAGGCGGGAGGTGGAGTGGCAATCGCCAGACGAGACGCAGCCTTGTATGCACCAGTTGACTGCATATAACAATTTTCAGTTAAAAATGTAGTTCAGGCGAATCTTGATTTTTTATAACTCCCAATCTCTAGGTCAACAAGGCTTTGATATCATCTTATGGAAGTATTAAAACCCACAAGTATAAAAATGCTTCTCATACAAGAATTTACCTCAACCATTGACACTAGAACAGCAGACATCACTGCAAACGAATGGCCTGCAGCGAAAGTAGGTGCACCCCACTGCAATGGATATGGGAACTTGAACCTGAAACCGTAACCGGTTTAGTGTTATAAAACAAACCAATGGGTGCGCACCAAAAAAATGATCAAATGAATCACATTTCAGACAAACCATGGAGCAGTGGATATGATATTTGCTCTATCAGTACGGCAACTGAGTTGAGTGTGAAGAGGCTTGCCTCTGTAAGCTCCACCAGCAGTTAGAACTATGGAATATAGCCAAACGATTGCGACACATATCAATATAGGAAAACGTTCGAATATTGGGAACTCCCTCACTGGTCTTACATGCTTCAAATACTGCAAAATTTTGAGAAATACGTAGTATGTATCATTACTTGTGTGAATGTCCAGTTTTTATGTCCTGCATTTGGAAAAGTTGAAATTGTCTTTAGTTAGAACCACTAACCTGTGACAAACCAATTACCAACAATAGTGTTGGAAGCCCTATCTCGACACAATTCCCTAGCTGCAATAAATTTGAAGGATTCAAAAATGGCATATTATGAACGTATGTTAGGGAATAAGGTTGAAGCTAACTTCACACCAATACATACAGCTGGAAATCCTCTTTGAAATAGGCCGAGACCAACTAATCCGACAACAGGAGCAACACCAAGAGGGCTGAAAAAGCTGAAAAGAAATGGAAAACTTAGTGTTGATTGTCTCAAAGTATATACATGGAAAATTCATAATGGCCATTGTTATGTACCGCGAAAGGAGACCCCAAACTTGGGTGTAGCCAAGAACGATTTGAATGATTGAAGCTACAATCAATGCTCCTTGGATTGCCCTCATGGTTTGTATGAATCTCTGCAAATCCACTTACCCATTTTAAAAGATCAAGATAATAAATGCCTTTTTTCATAAGCGCAATCAAATGCTATCATCATCATCCAAGGTGGTGCATATGCTTGTTTAGCTTAAACTTACAATTTGTGGCTCACTTATCCGTTGAAGAGACGAGTCGCTTATAATGTAGATTATTGGGATGACATATGCAAAGGACCCTCCTACAATGGCGGGTAATCGGGTCCCAAAGAGTGTTTGGAGAAGAGTGTTTATTCCCGCCACAAAAAGCAATGTTTGTATGACTCGTGCCTTGTCTCCCTAAATAGAAAAGAATTCAGAATGAATGAGTTACTTATCATCAGCAACAACCCATTAAGATCTCATTAGGCTAAAAAGGTAACCAAAACTGTATTAAATACGAAGTCTTTATATTATTAAATCACATCAGGAGATTATCTAAGAAACTTACATCGGATCCACCCATTAGCGGTACAAGCGTTGTCGGAATCACCACACTTGTCCCTAATACTAAAATGTAGTTTTGAAATGCTAACATTATGGTTTCAGCTGCAGGCAACAGACCATAAATAACATCAATATATGCATGTTGAGCAAAAAAAATTCTTAAAAATAATCAGTTGAATAAGAAATGCAAGTAACCAGGCAAGTATAAAACACATTTTGTGTGAGTGGTCTGACTCGGCCCCTATTAATCCTCCTCGCCTAGAGACCATACTGCCCATTCTAGAACACTGGCTATGTGAGCCTATGTGTTGAGGAAAATTAATCTCACATCGAACACCCAGACTAAAAAAAACTAATATATATGATTATGAGTTACTTATTCCATTGCCAATTGATTTTGGGATGAAATCTCACAATTATACCCTTTGATCACAACGCATTAAACCATTACTGCCAAGAGAAACTAGTCAAAGGTTCAAACTTTGTCCAATCTTTATACTACTGTAACATTCATCAATATTACCCAGAGACCAAAAATGGCCTTCTGCACTTCCATTCCAAACCACTCAAGAGTTCTATAATTGACTATAAAAATACAAGGTACAATATAGGGGAAAAAAAGATGTATAGAAACTCATTGTACAAATTGCTATTCCAAAGATTGACTCTTTGAAGTGTAATCATATACCCATTGTGCTAAAACCCAAAAAGGAAACACAGAGGACATAATGCCATGTACCAATGAAGAAGAAAGCACATCCAAATGGGTAAAAATCTCAACTTTATATTCTTTCTTTAAAGAATGCCATAAAGAAATGAGTTCAATTAGCAGAGAGCTGTTCTAAAATTGATTGTAAAAATATAAGGAAAAAAAAAGATATATAGAACCTCATTCTACAAATTGCTCTTCCAAAGATTGAGTCTTTGAAGTGTAATCATATACCCATTGTGCAAAAACCCAAAAAGAAAACTCAGAGGACATAATGCCATGTATCAATCAAGAAGACAGCACATCAAAATGGGCAAAAATCTCAACTTTTTATTCTTTCTTTAAAGAATGCCATTAAAAAAATTAGTTCAATTAGAAGAGAGCTTGTACTGACACACACACACACACACACACACAGATATATATATATATATATATATATATAGAGAGAGAGAGAGAGAGAGAGAGAGAGAGAGAGAGAGAGAGAGAGAGTACGCCATGGAGGATTAGAGTCTATGCAGTACTCAAGGTCTTGGAGTTGCTCCATGGGAGGGTGAGCAATATCTGCCATTGACATTGTTCAGGTGGCCAAATGGATCACCACAAATACTGTCTTCTTCACACAAAGAATCAAATACAGAGATGATAATGGGACAAACAAAAAGAAAAGGACGGAATATTTTTAACAATATGCTAATAAAAAAACAATGAGAGAGAGAGAGAGAGGTGGGGTTTTGGGGGTGGAGAGAACAATGGAACCCAAAGAAGCAGAGCAGCACTACTGCTCTACTGTACACTACAAAGCACTAGATAGAACGTTGGAAAAAGAAAACACCAAATTAAAAAAATGGTTTCTTTAATTATTCCTCTTTTCTGGAAGGAATATTACTATTGATTTATTGTTAAAAATACGGAGCATTATGATGTGGATAATTAATTAATTATGCTCGTGATAAGGATTTTAGTTGAGGTTTTGAATTTTACTCTTTTTGTCTCAAGTTTTATTTTATTTGGTATTATCGGAGAGATAGTTGTGCTCTTGGTAAGGATTCAGTTGGAATTTTGAATTTTACATTGTCTCGAAATTTATTTCATACTAAAACTAAAAAAATATTGAAAAATAAAAAAAACTAATGATTAAGATTTAATTATATGAGAGAAAGATTTTGAGATAACTAATCATATAAAATAAAAAAATATAAAATATATTTTAGGACATACATGTTTCATTCGTAAATAGAAAAAGAAAATGTAATGTGTCTTTTGAGACAACTAATCATAGTGAAATTAACTTATACTCTCTAGTTTGTTACTTACGGAGTAATTTGTATTACTTATTTTTATTAAAATTATATCAAATCAAACCAAATATGAAATATTCCAACAAAAATATTTAAATGAGTTGGACTAGAAAAAATCAAATAAAAATATTCAAATGTGATCCAATCAGAAATATATACAGAAAACAACTTCCCCTGTTATCAAATTAGATAAAAAAAGATTAAGATCAGATCAGATTGAATCAGATCATACTTCATTTGTCCCAAAATAATTGACTTTTTTTACAATTTCATACTATCGATAACTTTTGTTTATGCATATAATTTCATAGATCATTTGATAAAATAAAATAACCATGTTATCACTTGTTTTGAATTTTTTTTAATAGAAATCACCTTAAATAAGACTAAAACATAGAGAAAAGTACTAAAATAGGACGATTTTTATGTTTTTTTACGAAATAGGACTTCACACTGTAGTAATGTGGTTGTAATGTGACATTGTACATGTGCACATTACTATACTTTTTGGTAATGTACATGACCAGGTTTGGTAATGTAAATACATTTTAAGTCATATTTCGAGAATAAAAAATGAAAGTTCTATTTTAGTATATTTTCAATGTTTTAGTCTTACTTTGGGCTTTCTTCCAATTTTTATATAGTTTTTAGATATCTAAGTTATACTCCGATCCATCTGTCCTCTTTAAAACTTATACTCCATCAATAACTTATACTCCATCAACAGTGGAGTATCATTTAATTTTTTTTACAGACTCTAATATAACACTTTGACCATCAATACATTTATTAATACAAAAATCTATATTATAAAATATAATATTTTAAAATTATGTTTCAAAATTAACTTATTGATATTAAATTTATATCACCGTTAGATGTATTTTTTTTGAAATTTGTAGTGAAAGTTTAAAAAAAGTTGACAATTAAATTCAAACTAGGAAAAATTAAAGATGGTAGTATCTTTTAATTTTAAGAAAAATTATTTCAAATAATCTCACCTTTTTGCGCTCTTTCAACAATAATCCGACTTTTTCTAAAATGGAACTTTTATTTGTATAGCTCACTATATTTTTTGTTTTATTATAATTTTTTCAGGAACAATACTCTGAAATGTTTAACGATAATCGTCTATCACCTGTATTAGTTTTTCTAAAATGGCACTAAAAAACTTGTGATTTTTTTCGATAATTCAGTGCAAAGTTTTCTCCCAAAATAATAATTCAAAAGTTGTGAAAATGACATAATAATTTTTTTCTCCAAAATGCTAGTAATTATTTTTATAACTCACTATAACTTTTTTGTATTGTAATTTCTTTCTCGAACGATACTCTGAATTATTTTTCGATAATCTAATATTATAATTTCCCCAAAACAAAATACAAAATTAAATTTGTAAATAAATTATATTTTTTAAAAAGTTTTGAAACAAATTTTTAACAAGAGTGTACTGTTATATTTTTAAAAATATAAATTTAAAATTAAAAAACAAATAAAGTAAATTTTTCTAAAATAATCCCACATTTCATTAATTTTGTGAAAAACAAACATTTTCCAAAAATTCTATTAAGTGCCCGTTAGCTTATTAACGACGGCCCAAAACTCGCACGCATGCGAAAAATTAAGGTTATTTTTTATGATAGTGAAAAGTTGAATTATTTAAAAAAAATGAAAATATGCGATTATTTAAAATTATGGAAATTTTTATACCAATATGAAAATAAAATTATTTTTTAAAAAATATATTTTATACATTATTTCTAAGAGGATAATCTTTGAGAACAAGAAAAAGTTTAGGCTTAGTAAATTCATATCAGAACTCAGAAGCAAGAGGAAAAGAAGAAGCTTTTAGCATGGGTTAGTTGGTTGGATCTTGATGGTTCTGCCTTGAATTGGTTCTTAACTTTAATTGCAGATCTGCCATCGCATTCAAATGGTGGGATTCTAAGATTGCAGAGTGGGGCCCTAACTTGAGATCTGTTTGAGAAGACACTGTTTTACAGCTTATACGAAAATTGTGAAGTACAGACTACAGACTGTGGATTGTACTTATAATCTTTGGGTTTGTACCTTAGAAATTACACGTACAAATCAGACTTTCATGTTTTTTTTTTCGAAATACATATTAGGACTTTACACTGTGTTAATATGACACTGTACATGTGAACATTACTATACTTTTTGGTAATGTACATAATCATGTTTGGTAATCTAAGTCCTTTTTTGAAAATAAAACATGGAAGTCCTATTTTGGTATATTTTTAATGTTTTAGTCATACTTTTGTCTTTATCCCTTTGTACAACTATCCAAAAATTTTATCCTAAAGTATATTTCAAAGATTTCGATTTATATTTTGATGACTTATAATGAAACAAATAAACGTATTATTGTGAATTTCTGTACTGATATTTTTTATCGGTGTAAGCCATCAATCTCGTATTTACTTTGATACAAAATGTACGTGTAAGCATTTAGAGACAATTATTAAGGTACAAGTAGATTTATCCCCGAATGTAAAATACAAAGTGCTCCATCGGGCCTAAAAATTTTTTTACGACGTTTTATCGACTTTATTTCCGATTCAATTTATTTGATTGAAGGTGTAAAATTGAAAAATAAAATTTATATATTTAAAAACTACATCAAACGTTTTACACAAGAAAAGGTGACAAGACTATACTACCTTCGTCTCAGTGTATTTGTCCGATTTGACTTTTTCGAGTCAAACTCGACAAACTTTGAACCCTAATTACTCTCAATTTATACTGCATACAATTTTGAAAGTTCTCAATGTGATAAATCCAATAAAGTCATTTTTATGTTAAAATACATTACGATTTTTATTTAATTGAAGCTCAAGGTTTATCTAGTTTAACTCGAAAAAGTCAAACTAGACAAATACACTGGGACGAAGGGAGTATTATTTTATCAAATAACTAACGAAAATAGATTAAAAAAAATTATATTAAAATTTGACCGTATGAATGGTAACTGGGAAGAACGTTTTAGGACAGAAGGAGTAATATCCCAGTTTTGTCTTTAATTTTTTAGTTAAATATTTGATTAGTTCGTGTAAATTAGTAATTTTTGCTTTGATCATTCCAAAATACTCCCTCAATAGTCAGTACCAGAGTATTTTTTCACTTTTGATTTTTTTCGGTCCAAATTGATAAACTTTGACTCCAAATTAAATAAAAATTATATTAGATATTGAACATTCCACCTAGAGTTTTGATTTCTTTCAGTAAATATCCCTTCTCATAGACAATTGCATCCATCAAATGACTCTTCAACTTTTACTACACTTACCTACCAACATTTAAAAGGATGAGCCCATCCCTAAAGACTTCCTCAAATTTGATCAATTGGTCACTGAAAGAAGGTAAAATAGAATTTGATCGTAAATTCATTGACTCTCAAAGTCTCAGTGCAGTTAAGAATCAAACTCAAGTCTTAACATCTTGACATATTTTACCTTTGTCTATTGTGCAATATCCATCAACACCTACCACCATTTAAATTTTGGGAAGATGTATACAATTACTCCAACGTTTTTTTCATCTTGCAATATTACTCTTGATGATGTAAATTACTTGACCGGTCAAACTACACTAGACCGGGTCTAGGATAGTTTGCTTGATTTGGTAAAGTAAGAAAGGTAAAACACGCAAAGTGATCGGGAAGACTTTAGGTGGAACACCTGTAGATCAATTTATATTATAACAGAGAATGCACGGGCACTTTTACAAGGGAGTTTGGAGAGAATGAATTCGGATCCCTCTTTCTGAGGTTTACAGCAGTATATATACTAGGCTTGGGGGGACAGGGCCACGTGCACCCACGTGGGGCACGCTGCTGGTGTGATGCGAGGTGACTGGTTTCGTCTTTGAGCTGCCCTGTCGCCTTGTGAGGGGAATCATTCCCTTTGTCCAGTAGAGCCTTGGATGGATTCCTCAAGCATCTCTACTTATTCTCCAGCAATGCGAGCCGCTACAGTCCAAGCTCTTTTGGACTCTTCCTGCTATCATTCTCTGATCCTCGAAAATTGTACCGGGTATCTCCTGAGGGTTGGATTAGATGACTTTGAAGGGTAAATAAGATGATGAGGTAGTTTGACCGGTATACTCACTCAAAGTGTACCGGGCAACTTTCTGGTCAACCAATCATCCCTTTGTTGACGATTCAAATTTTTCTTTCAAGTTTGACCTCTTTGACCGGTCAACTATCCGGTTCCATCTTTTGGCCGGTCATGGGTGAAATACACCCATCAACCCTTAAATTAGAAAATACCAAACTTCACCCCATTTTTAATAGGGTAATTTACCTAAATAGGACTAAAACATAATGACTTTCACAATATAGGATCATATATTTTTATTTTCCAATGTAGGACCATTGATTATTATCTATTAGTCATTATTCAACTAAATGTTCAGTATCACTTGGACATTATTCTTCTCACTAGTAATTATTAATTTCTATTTAGGGAATAAAAAAGTTTAAGTTCTACATTGGAAAATAACTTATGTTTTAGTCCTATTCAGTACAAATTTCACTTTTTAATAATAGAAAATTTATCACCAATAATTTCAAGTTTGAGTGATTTTTCAAAAAATAATTTCAAATTTTGAATGTTTATGACGGTATGTCTAGTTACTTCCCAATTTGTTGTTCTATTTTCTATAGTCCAAAAATATCTTTAATGTATGGTAGAGACACTAGACATGCATTTTTATCCATTTTATTCTTCGGAATCCGATTCGCATGAATGAAAGGTCACACTTTTTTTATCCAAAAACTTGCATGGAATACGTCTAGTTGAACCGGTTAAGGAAACTTTAATTGTACTCCAAACATAATTATATGGGTAATTATATACCCAAGGCCTTTTCTTAGGGATTGAAAATGCAATGTTAATTTCGTACTTTTTTTAATTTTTTTTTAAAAAGTTCTTTCAGTTTATTTCTATAATGACTTAAAAAATATGTTTATATATGATAAAAATATAATAATGGCATATATCTAAGTTTATAACATATCACCTCATGACCTCAAACATAGAAAATAATGAATTCTTTTTAATTCAAAAATAGAGTGTTCTTAAATACTATCTTCGGTCCTAAAAACTCTTCTTGTTATGATATTTTTGATCAAATAGTGACACTTTTTTATCATAAATTATGAGAAAAAGTATATTGAAACATAATATAAATTCAATGTAATTGAGTTTATCTTAGGATATAGTTTTGATATATCAAATTTTTTATAAAATTTAATATATTTATTTAGGTTGTGTTTAATTTATGGTTAAAAAGTGTCAATGTTTAGCTAAAACAAGTCAAAAAAGGAAGAATTTTTAGGACCGGAAGAGGTATCATATTCGAGTGTTCAATGAATATAGTACTCCCTCCGTCCCATAAAGTGTTACCCATTTTGACTAAAGTTGAAATTAAGGGAGTGATAATTTTGTGTTGACTTTCCAAAAATACTCTTGATATGATGGGTAAAAGTAGGATGTGATGTATAGATTATTAGAAAAAAGGTATGATGTGATAGGTAGGGTTTGAAAAAGTAAGGGGTAAAAGTGGTTTTTTAATGGAAATGGGTAAGGGATTGTGGGACGCAATTTTTTTGAAACGTGTAAATCTTTTTGGGACGGAGAGAGTAATATTTTAACGCTTTAATTTTTCTAACAGATTCTAATTCATTATATTTTTTCTAATTTCTAACTGTTTCTTTCATTTCTTTCTAGTTTATTTCAACATTCAACTTAAGAATTAATTACAACCGAAAAGAACAGATCTTCATTAATTTTTTCGCCCCCAAAATAATGTTACTCGCGCGCAAACTTTTTCTATTACTCGCGTGTGAATTTTTTCTTTCAAGACTATTTAACACGGAGTATGAATGTATGATTAAGTTTAATTTAGATTAAACATAAGAAAATAACCAAAATAAGACTTTTATATTTTATTTCTAAAATATGACTTATTATGATAATATCACTAACATACAATACCAAAAAAATTATGAAAATTAATATATATTATCACAATGCAATAACTCTATTTTGTGAATAAAGATTATGTTTACTTCTATTTTGGGCGAATTCTTATTATTTCATTAATTTTAGTGGGCTTATACGAGAGGGTGGTAAACAAATGTTTAATAACCTGATGAGCAGTTTTTTATAAAAAAAATAAAAATGCTCTTGATGTGTGAAATATCTTTTAACATGATTGTTAAATAAATAGGAAGTAAATTCCTATACGTATAAGAATTTTTAAAATAAATTGGCCTAAATTTAGACCAATTATAAAATACGGAGTAAATTAAAGCAAATTTAAAATTATTTCAATCAAAAGTTAATTTATTAAACTGTGTGTAGTGTCACATTTAGCTTCACTCACTTCAAATACGCAACCACGCACTCAGGGGCGGGGGTGGGGGGGGGAGGGGGGGGATGGGCATGCCTGGGCAAGTGTCCCGGCGAAATAGTCTTAATTCCTTGAAGGCTCTTCTTGTGCCACGATAGAAACTATAATTTCATCGGAGCTCTTCTTCAGTTCTTCATAGGATCAATTTCTTCTGTTCTTGAGCTCTTCTTATGTGCCTTTTCAGCTTATTTTCAGATCTTCTCTCATTATCCAGGTATATGTAAATTTTAATTATCTAATTTTGATATGTTTTGAATTTTGAATATTTATTTTGTTCCGTGGTTCCAATGTGTTTGTTGATATTTAAATATTTGATAAATGTTAATGTAATTTCAACTTCTAGAGATTAAGATATATGAAATTGTTGTTTTAAGATTATTGATATTTTATTTTGTTACTTTATTATTGAATCAGGAAATTTTGAGACATGAGATGGATGAATTTGTTATTAGACAAGAAAATTTTAGAATTTTTAAGTGATAAAGACAATGAAAAAGAAGCTTCTTCTTCTGTAGAGAAAGCAAGTGTGGTTTCAAATGATGATATTATTGCTTATCCGGGATTATGAAAACCAATTAGTAGTTATCTATAGGAAATTAAAGATGTAATAAAGAGAAGATACTTAGCAAAAGGTCCTTGTAATCCATCGATGGATAAATTTTCACAGAGTATGACAGACAAGAACAAAAGACGATTTCAAAGTTATTGGTCTGATAAGTTTAAGTGGTTGGAGTATAGTGTTGCCGAAAATAGAGCACATTGTTTGCATTGTTATTTGTTTGCGAATTCAAACAAAAATGGATCAAAGGCTTTTACTCAAGTTGGATTTAACAATTGGAAAGATTGTCCAAAAGCATTGTTGACCATGAAGGAACCAATAAAAGTTCGCATTCTTATTGTAGAATTAAAGTTCAACAATATCTTAATCAAAGAGAGAACATAGATTATGTCTTATCGACTAACACTGATGCCATTGAAGATGATTACCGTACTCGGTTAGCAACTGTCGTAAAAGTGGCTCGATATCTTTTGGGGGAGGGCTTAGCTTACAGGGGACATGATGAATCTCCCGAATCAATCTATCGAGGTAATTTTCTTGAGCTCATATCTTGGTTTTGTAAGACCAATGTAATTGTTGACAAAGTGATGCAAACAAATTCTCCTAAAAATAATCAAATGATTTCTCCTGCCATTCAGAGAGATATTATTGAAAGTTGTGTAATGGAAACGAGAAATGTCATATTGAATAAGATGAATATTGTCAAGAATGATTTACGCAACTGTTTGGGAGATGAGCTTCTACTAGATTGTCTATTGTGCTACTTTGAGAAAGAAATTTTTAGGAGCATTGATGTCTGATGATGAAGTTATTATGTAGCGCTTTCAAAAGTTGGCATCTCGAAAAAATTTTCTATGGCCTCAAACAACACAAATAGAAGGTATGTTTAGTTGCACTTTTCCAATTAATGTGCTCCCTCCGTCTCCCAGTTTTTACCCACTTTTGACTTTTGGAACTGTTCATCTAAGCACTTTGACTTATCAAATTCTCTCAATGTGTAAGCCTAAATATAGTCATGTGTGATCTTGTTTAATTTTTTTTAACATATAGTTTATTAATATATAATTTCTATAATTTTTTAATATACAAATTACAAGATAAAATTGATTAAAGAAGTGCATTGGATAGTGCGTAAAAACGAAAGTGGACAAATACTCTGGGACGAAGGGAGTAGTTACTATTACGTATTTTGTTTATTTATTAAATGAATTTTTGCCCCCATGAAGTCTTCCCTGGCTCCGCCACTCCACGCACTCTAAACATTACACTATTACTCCGTATTATTTTTATTTAATACTCACTCCGTCTCAAATTTATTTACATTGTTCGAATAACGTATAAAACCTTATCTTTTTTAAAAAGTACAAATTACATATTTGAAAACTCAAGAGCTGGAAAGGATATCGAGGACGCCTTTGGTGTGCTAAAGAAAAGGTGTTATCTAATAGTAATCCCGCAAGAATGTGAGATATAAAATAATCCCTCCATTCTCAAAAACACTTTCTCTTTCATTTTTTTCACTTTCAACAAAACACTTCCACTTTTTATTAAAAAACTATTTTTACCCTTACTTTTTTCATACCCTACATATCACATCATACTTTTTCTCTAATAATCTACCCATCACATCTTACTTTTACCCATCACATCAAGGGCAAAACTGGAAGTCAATTACAATTTAACACTTCCTTATTTTTCCACTTTTTCAAAGTAGGAACTCTTTTTGAGAACGGAGACTAGTCGTGTATTATTTTACATAATAGGATTTTAGAAACGGATTTAGTAGAGCATCTTTTGAAAAATTGAAATTCAAACTAGTGCAACGTGTATTGTTTTGTCTTTCCTGTACTCCATGTTTTATTATTTATCTATCTTGTATACTTGTTTTAATTCATGTAATTTATGAGTATTTAAATTAATCTTTTTTGTGTATTTAATTCTTAAAATAAAAAAACAAAAAAAGAAGATTAATTCATCCAAAATGGGGAAAAAATTAATAACAAAATAAAGAGAATAAACCTGAAAATAAAATTTTGTTAATTAATATTATTATTTTATAAATGATACTCCGTATAATTTAATTTAAATATAAAAAGGTAGTTAGTGAGATGGTGACTGCAGACCATGCAGTCAATAACTCAATACTGATGTGCCGCTAAGTGACTGCTGATTAAGAGTGACCAGTGGTGAGACATTATTGATAAATTGAAATTATGGAGTCATTTTGCACCAAACCCACTTTTTTTTTGAAGAAGCACCAAGCCCACTTAATCCAGGTGGAATTATATATAACCTTTTTGCATGCTGTATTCTCCATTTCTTGGCATACTGGAGAAATCTTTTCTCATTTTGATCATTTTTCCTTCATTAAAAGTAGCAATTGAGTTAATAATTACAATAGATTTAAATCAAAGTTTTTCCCACAATCCCAATTTAGATTTTTTTGCATACACGCACATGAGTGAGAATCGAGCTATGAACATAAATTTTTGAATTAAGCTAGGGGTACACCAACATGGAGTACCCCAAGTGTACACCAAAGCCAACACAGACACACAGAGACACAAAGTATCTGTGTTGCACAGACATTTTGTGTCTGTGTGTCTGTGTTGGCTTGGTGTACACTTGGGATACCCCATGTTGGTGTACCCCTAGCATTGCCCTAAATTTTTTTAAAGTTTAGAGAGCCTCCAACTACAATTGGATGAGCTGAGTCTATGTACCCTAAAAAATACCCTATCATATCCCATAGATATACATAAAAATATGTGAAATTTGCACTAAATAGGACTAAAATATAATGACTTTCCTAATGTAGAACTTAACCTTTTTATTCTCTAAATATGACTTAATAATGACCTAATGGAAAGAATAATGTCCAGTAATGATGGACATTTAGTTGAATAATGACTATTTGATAATGACCAAAGGTCCTACATTGGAAAATAAAAACATATGGTCCTATATTTGAAAAGTCATTATGTTTTAATTCTATTTAGGTAAATTTCTCTAAAAATATTGATCTAAGTACCATATATATTTGCATAAAATTTCATTCCCAATTAGTATTCAAATCATCAAATTTTAATCAATTTTTTTAACTGTTTTCATTAGTTATTTTATAAAATAATATAATCATGTCACTTCTCATTTTGTATAACTTTTGATATAATTTTTAAATGTTACATTTATAACCAAGAAAAATGAATTACAAAATAACTTAGTTAAACCTCATAAATCGAAACGGGAAGAAATTGATGGAATGTAGAAAAAGTACTGCGCAAATGTTAGACTACATAAGGTTATCTGTAGCGCTCCACCACCGCTCACTCTAAATAAGCAGCCATTTAGCAATGGTTACACATTTATTTTTTTAAATTTTTTACCTATTTCTATTCAAATTAAATTTTATCTTTTATAAAATAATATTCTTTCCCCCTAAAACCTTCTTCCCATTTCTATTTACAAGGTTTGACTGGCTTTATTTTCAATTCAATTTATTTGATTGTATGTGTAAAATTAAAAAATAAAATTTGTACATTTAAAAACTACATCAAAAATTCTACAAAACAAGAGGTGACAAGACTATATTACGGAGTATTTTATCAAATAACTAGGAAAAATAGGTAAAGAAATTACTTAAAGTTTGACCGTGTGAATAGTAACTGGGAAGGACCTTCGGGGGAGACTCTGAGTCATTCTCGGTAGGGATGGGGTTGCACCAAGGGTCTGCCCTTAGCCCTTTTTTGTTCGCCTTGGTGATGGACGTCCTAACTCAAGGTGTGCAAGAAGGGGTCCCATGGTGCATGCTTTTCGCGGATGATATTGTGCTTATCGACGATACACGTGAGGGACTAAACGATAAGTTGGAACGATGGCGCCTTGCCCTTGAGACTAAATGGTTCAGAATAAGTAGGAACAAGACTCAATACATGGAGTGTCGTTTCAGCGGTAGGGAAACAGAATCAGAGGTGGAAGTTAGGATTGACTCTCACCTAGTACCTAAGGTAGACAGGTTTCGATATCTTGCCTCGGTAATCTAGGCTGATGGGGAGTTAGACGGGGATGTTGGACATCGTGTTGGAGTGGCTTGGGCCAAATGGAGGTTGGCCTCAGGGGTATTGTGTGACCCGAAGATTTCGCCCAGGATGAAAGGCAAGTTCTACCGATCCGTAGTCAGACCTGCTATGTTATATGGGGCAGAGTGTTGGGCGGTTAAGAAGACTCATGTGCGTCGTCTGCATGCGGCGGAGATGCGGATGTTACGATGGATGTGTGGGAAGACAAGGTTGGATAGGATTTCGAACGAAGTTATCCGACGTCAGGTAGGCATGGCGCCGGTGGAAGATAAATTGCGGGAAGCGAGGTTGAGATGGTTTGGTCATGTGAGACGGCGGGATGCTGACGCCCCTGTACG